TAAAGTTAAGAATGAACAACATTCATGAACTTGCCCGACAACACATCCAGTTAGCCAGTGACAGAACGAAAGATCAATACGATTCTCGATGCAAGAATGAAAACTATGAAGTGGGTGATCTTGTTTGGCTTTATAATCCACAACGTCGTCGTGGCTTGTCTTCTAAACTGCAAAGACAATGGGAGGGTCCGTATGAAATTAAAAAGAGAATAAATGATGTAATATACCGAATTAAGAAGTTGCCGAAAGGTAAACCAAAAGTAGTTCACATAAATCGTCTTGCACCTTATGCTGGCTCAAATGAAACAGAAGAAGTACGAATCCTTCAACATGAGATCAAAGATAACCGGCGACCAAGCTTTAACGAGTTTATGTCAAATTACGCAGAGAGAAAGAGTGCTAGATTTGGCGTGAAGACAGAATTTCAGCAGGATCTTTTTAGTGTTCCGCATAACGTCTCTCTAGCCCACTGTGTTGCCCAAGATCTTGAGATGACTAAAGGAATCTCATCTGTATTTTATAAGAAATTCGGTCGCTTGGACGAGTTAAAAAACCAGCAGCCTAAAGTTGGAAGAGTACTGAGATTAGAAGATGGTTCTCGATCTTTGCTGTATATGGTGCCCAGGAAGTCGTATACAGATAGGGCAACCTACGAGGATATATGGTGTGCTCTAACTAATTTGAAGAAAATCGTCCGCAATTACGACATTAAGAATTTGGCCTTACCCAAGATAGGCCATTCACTAGATAATCTGGATTGGAAGATTGTCAGAAGCATGATTGAAGTAATCTTCCGAGAAACCGGCGTAAGAATTACTGTGTGTTGCACTAATCCGAAGAGAACGTGTCCTTCAAAGACAGTAGACTGTTATTTCTTTTTGAGGGGTTCATGCAGAGCTGGAGAGTCCTGTAGATTCCGCCATCCTGGGCCTACATATAGAGTTGCTGATCGTGAAGCTCAGATCTAAGAGGGGAGCAGTGTTACGAACATGCATTCAGCGCGACCCGTCTAACGGTTGCATCTCGAAGCATCTCGGCATCGAGAACCATCGATGGATAGATCCCTCGAAGGCAAGAGAACAATCGGTCACGTATACGCCTAGAGGTGGGAACTTTCTAGAAAATAGTAACTTTGGTATATATATGTAACGATCTTAGGAGTTAGTTTAGTTGATAAGATAGTATCGAACTATAAAGTTATAAATAAATATATTTATATAAATTCGAACCGCTCGTTTTATTTAAAAACGCTACAATACTATCTCACAACATAACATACAACAGCTCGATGCATCGACGTGACGTAACTGCGCGTCAAAGACACGTTTTTATTCCAAACGTAGCATACCGTTGTAAGTGTGTCCGATTTGTCCATCGCGCCCGCTTCGTCTCAATAAACGCTTACCTTTACAGTCCGTTTGTTACGTCTCACATCTTACAGTCTTAGTGATCACGTGGGGTACCTATGCATGTATCTTTGACGGTTCCCTCTTCCACCTTTTTCAGAAATATCACAATAATAATGTTTCGCTTTGAATCTTGCACAATATCACTTATATAAAAACCGTTTGCTGATCATTTATATAAAAACCGATCTTGATATCCGAAATTTTTATACTAATGATGGGGAATTTGAAATGATAGAGACCGCTAGCTATTGACATGAACAAATGTATGGCACATGTAAATTGGTTGATTAAAAAAACAGCAAAACTTTTTATAGAGACGTGTATTCCAGAAATACGCTTTTACATAGTAGATTTATATAACAAAAGGTAAGAGAGGCCAGCTTAAAGAATGTTCAACATGACGCATTGTATCTATCAAAAAGATATGCTCGATCCCGTAGCATAGTGTAATATCATAATCATAGATAACTCAGTTACCAGCTGTAGTCCGTTTGAAGAGGTTTACTCTCCGGACACTGGAACTCACTTCAACCATGGGTGTATGTTACCTAGAGTCAAATTCAATTTAATATTTAACATCACAGTTTTATAACAACATTATGTACAATCATTTGCAACTACATGTAATTTAAAGGGTTTTCACTCTGGTATTTTGGTGGCTCAGGCATTTTAACCTAGCAATTTTAAACCTGATGATGGACTGTTTAGTCCGAAAACGTTTGTTTTTTTAAAATCCACAAGGAAAAATTCCTGTAGCTGGCTGTATACCACGTATAACAAAAAGAGGTTAATCTTTGTCAATGGGTATATTTATTTAAAAAACCCTTAAAAGGGCCACATCAATAAAACAAACGTTTTCGGACCACACAGTCCATCATCAGGTTTTTAAAATCGAAAAATGCTAGGTCTAAATGCCTGAGCCACCAAAATACTAAGGTAAAAACCCTTGAAATTACATTTAGTTATGAAAGATTGTACATTGTGTTGTAAAATAACTGTGATGTTCAGTATTAAATTCAATTTGACTAGAGGTAACACATGGCTCAATCGGGTTCCAGAGCCGGTGAGAGAGAACCTCTACACTCGGAGAACAGCTGGGAACTTCTTCCCAGCTGTTCCTGGGACGTTCCTTCTGAAGTGGGACCTGGGTCCCACTTCTTTATTTATACGTCCATGGTGGTTGCCCTAAATAAATTAATCCGGGTTAATTTGTGAAGCACACAAGATAAAATGTCACTGAACAGCACTGGTTCCGTTTAAAACATATCTGATTTCGTCTGCGCGAACTAGATGCCTATATTTATTTTTTTAAGCAGAGTGGACATTCTGGTTGTTTATTATCCTGTGACTGAACGGGGTACTCTCATTGGTTGCGATGGATGTAGCGGAGTTTAAAACTAAAGTAGGCCAAAACGACGATGGATTTGGCGAGTTTTGAAAGTAAAACACGTTTTCAACATTGTTTTACAGTGGGATGTGGCGGGTTTAGCTATAAAATAATAGTTTATTTAAATTCGGTGTGTTTGAAACTATATGGATAGAATGTCTAACTCAACTTGAACAAAAAGTTAATGTGGCGGGGTTTGATTCTACGCACCTCATTTATGACTGAAGATAATATTGCAGTTCTGGCCTGGTCTGGAAACTCATCTAACATGAATTCCAAAGATATTATCACCACGAAGCTGCAGTTGATTAAAGCCCTTATTTAAGAATGACATCATAGTCCAAACATAAAAAATAACGCACAAACTTGTATTCAGAGCATTACGCGTAGAAGCTGCAATTGCAGCAAAGGGTGGCATCACTAAGCGTTGCCAGGCCCAAAAAAATTATTTCCCCAAATTGTGTTTTAAAAGTTGCCAGATTTTGAACAGAATTCCTCAAATTGATATATTTCAGTTTTTCTCCAACATGTATGCAACCCCTGTTGAGCCGTGTGTTGCCTTCCATGTAGGTTAATGATATTATATCCAGCCATAGGAGTTTCCAACGCTTCTTGTTTGTTTCGAGCCTCTGTCATATGGCGTATATTAATATTATACACGGATTATGACATATGACAGAAGCTCGAACCAAATGAAAAGCGTTAAGGTCCCATTGATGACACTGACAGGCATAGTAACGGGAAAACCCAGACCTACATAGGTAGTTATACAAATACGATACTTGGCTGGACCCTGGTCTTCCTGGCCTAATAGGCATACGACCGTAAGCGACTCCGCTGCTCCTACGAGTCCGACACCAAATAAGGGTGGCACGATGCAGGAACATCGTGGGGCTCCACCCTCCCCGTAGTACCTGTATTAAGATTACGTCACCCGTCCGTTGGTTATCCCCCCCTCCCCGGATGGAAAGATGACGCAAGCGGAGGAATTCCACCTCGCACGTAGACAGGATCATTCTATCACTCTTAAATCATCCAGGTGGGTACGTGCCGAGACACCGACGCCCCTTTTGGTGGTGCGTGCCGAAAGATTTGTTTACGGGCTCTGAGAGTACTGAGAGTAGAGTAATCCCACCGAGAGTCTTGTCTCGGATAATTAGGAGTGTATACCGGTGACTGAGATGCCTAAGCCTCCCGAGTGCGTTCCTACAAACCCGACAGCTCAAACGACGGCTCCCCACCTCTCATTTCCTTCCCATTAGTCGCCTCTTACGACAGGCAGGGAGTTCCGGCCTCTGCCGTATTCTTATCTCCGCGAGCCGAACGGAGGATGACAGTGTCAGGGAACCCCAGGCAATATCATTGTTCTCGGTACCGCCAATTCATCAAACTGTATTGAGTGTGGTCTATAAGTGGAATCAGTCAACGCGATCTTATCTTGTCGTTGTAGTACATTTAATATTGAGATAATTGCTGGACTTTTAAAAATACCCTAATAATTTTTTTTTACTAAATTTGATAACATATTTTATTTAGCCAGTTTGATTTCCCCAGATATTAGTCATTTTAAAAAAGTTTTCCCCAGTCCCCAAATATTCTCAATTTTCCCCAGTTCTGAGGAAAAATCCCCAGACCTGGCATCCCTGCATCACTATAAATATTAAAATTAGTAAATTTATATCACAACTTTTTTGCGAAAAAAATTTAAAAGATGGATTTACTAACAAAACTCATTGTTTTGTGACCTTAATACCACACTCCCTAATACAAAAAATAAATTCAATCCTTAAAGCCAAATACTTGCTAAGAAAATTTACCATAAAGTATATAAAATTATATAAAAGCCAAAGAAACAGTGAAAAAAGTAGAAAGCAATGCAAGAATACTTTATTTTTGCGCATTAATTTGTTATTTGTTATTTAAAAATTCAGTTAGAAGTTACAATTGACTTTTATAATGAGCGACATAAATATAGAATGCTTCCTTGATACGCTAATTTGAATTACCATTACCTACCATTATTATATTTATTTTGTAATTATTATTTAATTGTGATTATCTATACAAACAGGGTCACCGTGCCGTACACCCAGAGCTGTGCCCAGAGCGTACACCTATGTTAGATTTCTCATCGACCAATCAGAATAGGCCAAGTGACAGACGTCAGTATATGACGTTTATTTATTTGATTTGTTTAAAATCCTAATAATCTAGTGGTAGTGGCACCGGTATTTATTTTGTAAATCCACTCAACTTGAAAGAAAATACAGTCGATAAGGAAAACTAAAAGTTCGGTTGATAATAGTTATGAACAAATTACATATTTACAGTGTTTTACTTGGCCTCTTGCTAAGTATATTTTCTAGTGTTGCTGAAGGATGTAAGGGATGTGTTAATTTGGATGAATACAACTTCGACAAAATAATTTCCAGATTTGAAGCTGTTTTAGTTAAATTCGACGTGAACTACCCCTACGGTGACAAACACGATGTATTTAACACTCTTGCTACAGAAATTGTGGACAGCAAGAACTTAATACTAGGACAAGTTGCTATCAAAGATTATGGTGAGAAAGAAAATGAAGAATTCGCAAAAAAATTCGGTATACAATCCAAAGAGGATTTACCGGCACTCAGACTTTTTGTCCAAGGAGAGGATGAACCATTTGCTTTCCATAAAAGTATGTTATGGAATAACGAAAACTTGAAAAAATTCATAGTAGACCACACCAACATTTACTTAGGACTGCCAGGATGTTTGGAAATATATGACAAATTGGCCAACAAGTTTTCAAAAGCTAATAATAAGGACAAAGTTCTTAAAGAAGCCGAGGAAGCAGTTGCAAAGCTGGATACAGATGTAAGTATTTTGATATACTAGCAACATAAACAGGAGTCATACATAAATATTGTTCTGCTTTGTGAAATATAGCAGCTATGATAATATGGGCTTTAAAAACAATTTTTCGAAACATAATTTTATAATACTTTCCATTTGTATTTTACTAATTTTAATTAGTTCATATTTTCATTAATCCTAATTTCTTTCCATTACTTTCTTCTTATCACTGCATTATCTCTTGTACCATTTTTTAATCCACTTTTTGTTCTTGATATATTTATATTTGTCGAAAGAAAGTTATATTTGTATGCATGTATTGAATATTCATTGTTTTAAGCTACTGAAAATATGTTAATGTTGCTGAATTGAACTTGCTATAATGCAATAAATAAACAGTATTTTATTTATTTAGGAATCTAGTAGTTTATTGGTATACCTAAGTATTTAAAGTTGTCCACTGCTTTAAATCATGCTTTAAGAGTTTTATATATTTTATATTAATCAGTTAATAAAATGGCATTAATATTTATTATAAGCATGTTGTTTTTTAGAGAGAACGGGATATTGCTAAAACATACATCAAATTTATGAAAAAGACTATTGAGGCTGGAGAAGCTTTTATTAGCCAAGAGCAAAAACGTCTAAACAAAATAGTATCTGAAGGAAAAGTAAATGAAAAGAAGAAGAGGGAACTATCTAACCGTCTTAACATACTCAAATCATTTAGTCAAGAAGTCTCAAAGACTGAACTCTGATGGAAGTGGATTTTACTTGCATACCTAATAGTTTTTCCAATAATGTATGTTTTTGTTCAAAGTAAATGCCAAAGAGCTGATACAATGTGTAAAGATTGAAAAACAAAGAAAATAAGTGCATATTCATGATCATTTGTATTGTCTTCCTTAAAATGTTCTACAAATAAAAGAGTTGACTGTGGATTAAAAAAGCAACATGACAAATGTGGGCATTTGAAAAAATTATGAAGATAATTTGATCATGCATGTACAGTAGAACCCTGATTATCCGTGCTTCATGTGAGCGGGCATTTTTTTATGTATATGTACGTTATACATACATGCACATATACATATCATAAAAAGAACAGAAAAAATCAAACTCATAAGTTCAAACTAAAGTTTATAGTACATAACAGAAAAAAAAACAGATTTCTACCAAAATAAATTTTTATATTACATAATAAAAATAAAAACTACATAAAGGTATTATATATTTTAGGTGGCTATGCTTTTGAAAAATAATCAGTCACTTTGGCCTATGTTAAAAGTTTTCGATTTTTTATAATTTTCTGAAATATTTTTTCTGACATAATTATGCAAATTTAAAATATCAACAAAATCTGAAGATTTTTGTTGCTCAAAATAGTCTATTACAACATTGACAGCTTCCTCAGCCTTTTGGTTAGTTATTCTGTTGGCTGTTGGTTAATAATGTTCCATCATTGTCTTCATCTTAACTCTCATTTTCGGATGAATCAGGTTGTGACGTACCAGGCTGATGGGAAACCAGTTTGACAATTTCGTCTTTGCTGAAGAGCTGATAGCCAGACTCATTTCTATGACACTCTATCCTCGATTTCATCAATTTCTTCAAGCACTAGTTGCGTTGCGCACTAGTGCTTGAATTCGCGATACTTTCATGTTCCTCTAGCGTCATTATTTTGTAAAAAGCTCTTTTGATAGTAGTCTCTTTCACCCCATTCCATGCATTTGCTACTGTAAAAATTGCATCTTGTATGGTGAATGATTTCCAAAACTTCATCCAACAAGTTCATCATAAATTCTTTTCGGTATAGTCGTTTCCTTGTCGTAATAACATCTTGATCCATTGGTTGAGCAATGGTTGTAATATTAACTGGAAAAAAAAGAACAAAGAAATTTCCATTGTCAGATCTTAGGGTCGCCTGATTGGGATGAGCACCAGCATTATCCAGAAGAAGAACCGCCTTTTGTGGTAATTTTTCTTTCTTTAAATATATATTTACTTCAGGAATGAACTTTTCATGGAACCAGTCTTTGAAAATGTCACAAGTTATCCAGGCAGCCTTCTGCTTATAATAGTGAACTGGGAGGTTCTGTCGTTTCATATTTTTAAAATCGCAAGAATTTTTTGACTTTCCAATCACAGTCAGCTTCAATTTATGGCTGCCAGACGCATTGGCACAACACAAAACGATTATCCTATTTTTACATTTTTTATACCCAGGTGTACTCATCTCATTACCTGCAACTAAAGTTTTTTTAGGTATTGCTTGCCAGTATAATCCTGTTTCCTCAGCGTTATAAATTTGAGAAAGTTGTAAATTATTTTCTGTAATTATAGCCTCCAGCTTATAGCAAAGTTCCACCATTGCTTCTCCGTCGGCACTGAGCTTTTCGCCTTGGATGGTAAGCTCATGAATTCCGTGACGTTTTTTGAATCGATGTAACCAACCACTGGATGCATTAAAAGGTTCTTTGATTTTCAAATTTTTGTGAAAAATCTCCGCTTGCTTAGCATACATTGGTCCCGAAATTGGTACGCCCTCTTCTGCCGAAACCACTTGGAAAGCGCTTCATCGAGTTGTTGAAAGTCGATCCTTTCAAAGATTTCCGTGCAGGTATGTTTTTAAAAGAGTCAGATTGAGATATAAAATTTTGTAGTTTCTATTAATGTCGCGTATTGTTTGCTTACCAACTTCGTAGCTCCGTGATAATGATGTGACACTTTCACCCTTTTCACTTCTGTTTAAAATCTCTAGTTTTTGTTCAATCGTTAAAACACTTCTCTTTCGTTTAATACTGGTTGTTGACATTTTGAAAATAAAAACACGTTATAAGAATAACCAGAGTAGCGACTGATTTCTAGCTTCCAACTATGTATGTATGTAAATACTAAATCTCACACATTCGACGTAATACGCAGCCGCGGCGGCATATTATAAGCTACTGATTTCCAGTGATTCCCCGAGCACTGACGCTATGGATATTGCCATTATGCGCCTTTCCCACGACGTAGTAATTTTGCGGTGAAGTCGTTCTGATAAAACGCCAATTCAATGTTAAGTAGCACGGATAATCCGCACACGGATAATCGGGTTTCTACTGTATATTCTTTTATAATATATTACATATCATGAAAATATACTTATTTAAAACATGCTATGTCTGTCCCCAAATATCCTATGAGAATTTCTTTGTTTGAAAGTCATTTATTGTGTTTTAAATTTTAAATATGTGGTGATAGCATTACTTCAGTTATAAAAATTAAATTCATAGTTGATGGTTTAAGTTATGAAATAAAATTATTTTCGAAATATATGAACAAAGAGTTCTATCTTAATTTTCTATTATATTCTGGGATATTATTATTATATATTAAAAACAATAATTTATTATATCTTACATTTCTGAGAATATAAAAGTCATAGTATGTGAAATTATAATGAATCACTTCTCTTTCTTTTTTGGGTATCTCCATTAGTGAATATTAGTGAGCATTAAATATTTTTGTCTTCCATATGAAATGGTATCAATATTTTTTTTAAAAAGTGTTCTTTGAAAACTTGAGTAACACAATTTTAATTAAAAATATTTTTTATATTTTTAATTTCTACTTTAAAGATCATTATCAAAATACCAAAGATTAAACTTATTTTCATAACAATTTTTGAAGTGGAAATTAAAATTGTAAAATGTTTTTGATTAATTTTTTGGTTTATTTATTAATATAAAAAATGCCAGAGGAAACTAGTTTCAAAACCATATTCTCTAGCAATATTTAATTTATTTTAAAACACAAATAATATCAAACATGATAGTTCTCTGTCAATAGTTTTATGAGTCTTGTATACTACTTTTTGAAATAGAATTTTTTCAATAACTGTGGTGTCATTCCCAACAAAAAAAACATACTTGGCCATTTAGTTACATAGTTCAATCTCTAAAATAGCTCTATCTCACATTTAACTATATTAAGGGTTTGTGTTAAAAATAACTTGTACCTTCGATAGATGCAGTGGTATTATTTGATAATGACATGTCAGTGTATTGCAAGTTGTGTTATAGATATAACTACTATCTGGGTATAGATTTTACAGCTTTAGTTGTGAATTTTCACAACTTATACTACTCTTGTGCTTTTCTTCTATCTGAAATGAGTATGAACATCTTATTTTTTTTAATATCTTTCAGTTGTGTTTCTTTGATAAGATTTTTTCTGTAATGAGGATCAAAATCTAACGAGTCAAAAAAATTTGGTGGCAGATACATATTATTTATTTATTTATTTTGAATATTATTTTATATATTTGGTTTAATAAAATGGCAGCATTTAGTTATTCCAATGGTTTGTAAAAGATTTCATTTTTATCCATGTTTCTTTCATATATATTTCTGTTTAAAGTATTCCTGATTTTCATCAATTTTAATTAGATATCGAACTTGTTCTATTTATTGCCCTCTAGAAATCTATTGATTACTAAAATTATGGTTTTATGTATGTTTCCATCATAAGACTTCATATTTTTTTTAAGTTTATAATTTTGCATAAATTTTCTTTTGTAAAAGAAATTTTTTGCTCCCATTAATACTTAAAAATGAAGCTAACTAATTTCTGCATCCAGCATTAAGTATTGGTGGGGTTTGATCCTTAAAATTAATATAAAATATCTAAACAAAAGAATCTAAGTTTTTATGAAATCTTAATTGTAAAACAAACATGTTTAATGAAGAAAATTATGTTAAAGCTGTTGTAACTGAATTATTGTGTGATAAATAACATTCCTTTTTCGAGATTATATTTGCATTTGATGCATTTACTTTGTTAATATATCTGTTATAGGTTTTATTTTGAGATTTTGAAAATACAGTATTAAAAATTTGCGTTGTTTTTTTTTCATCTTACGTTTATAAAATTAATGAATATTGCTTATAAGCATATGGTACAGGCTTAGATTTTGACATAAAAAGAAAGGAAAAATGATAGAGAATGAGTAAATAGAGAGTGATTGTAGAGGGTAGTTTGGCATCGTAGACATTTTCACACTGCGTTCCCAAAGATTGCTTGTGTCTACTCCACTTTTATATTCTTGACGTTCGGTAACATTTAACGCTGACTCTCGAGGCCTCGCGTTAATGGGCATTTAACTCGCTGGGCCTTTATCGATGCTTACTGAGCTTTTTATCGCTGTTTTTGAAGTTACACTTCTAATTTGTATGGGAGTGAATCGGTGAAATCATTACATATGTAAGATATGAGTAAGAGAGAGATAGAAGACATATTTTCTCTCTCGAGAGTAAAAATGTTCTTTTTGTATATATGTAATATTTTATATATATATATATATATATATATATATATATATATATATATATATATATATATATATATATATATATATATATATATAGTCCCTGCTCAATTTATCAATTTATTAGACTCACCATAAAAATTTCAGTTTTTTTTAAATTTTAATCGCATTGAAAGTATGTTCACTTGGATACTGAGGTGCTGAATGGGTTAACGGAAATGGCATAACTATTGGGAACATAGTTAAGTGAAAAATGGTATACTTCTCAGAATTCTCAAAAATTTACGGATGACAGTAGAATGTGCTCAAAGTGTGGAGCAACTAATTATTTTACATTTTGATTTTTTTTTTCTTAAAATATAGATTTGTGATCAGTTTATTTAAAATTTGCACCAGTATTGTATAAGTATTGTCATTATTACATAATAGTGTTACTATTATTAATATTAGATTATTACATAATATTGGTTAATTCTTAGTTATAATACAAAACGATTAATCTAGGATTGGAATTTTTCAGATGGGTAAATCTAAAGATCTTTGTGTTGAGCAAATCTCTTCCATTACTGCTCTACTACAAAATACATCACTTAGTCAGAGAGAGAGATAGCACGAAAATATGGTGTATCCCAGTCGTCAGTGAGAAGATTATGTCAAAAACTCAAAGAGAAGCGACGGTCTGTGACGTCAGTTCGGAAGGGCCGATGTGGCAAAAAACCTTCAGTCACCCCAGGGCGCAACGAATTTTAAAAAATTTAGCTGTAACACACAGAACGGCCACCCATAGAGATTTAAGAAATAAGTTGGAAGAACCAGGGTGCTTAGTATCGGCGGCCACTGTACGCCGAAATTTGTATAGCATGGGCTTCAAATGTCGCAGGCATGTTAAGAAGCCAAAACTAACACCACAAATGCTCAAAAAACGCTTAGCATGGGCCAATATCCATAAAGACTGGTCTATTGATGATTGGCGTAAGGTAAATTATTACAAATAATTTTATTTTCGTTCTTTATAATTTTATTCACATTTCCAGGTTTGCTTCAGCGATGAAGCCACGTTTCAAATAATGGATGACAAGGCCCAGTTTGTCCGAAGACGTCCAGGGGAAAAATATGAAAAGGGGTGTGTAATTAATACAATTAAACATCCCACCTCAGTAATGATATGGTCGGTGATTAGTGGCAAAGGTATGGGACGTTTGTATGTCGGAGTAGGAACCATGCGACAAGACCAATATAAAAGGGTTTTGCAGACAAGATTGGTTCCACAAGTGAACGAATGGTTTGGTAACAGCCTTAAGATATTTATGCAGGATGGAGCACCTTGCCATACGGCTAAAAGTATTAAAAAATTTTTGTTAGAACAAGAAATTCCGCCCTTACCATGGCCCTGCAACTCGCCAGACATGAACCCCATTGAAAATTTCTGGGAGTGCCTAAAAAGAGAATTAGCCAAGGAAATAATTACCAACAAGATTCAGTTGATAGAAAGAATTATTTTCTATTGGAATCATACCGAAAATTTAAAAGAAATCGCAGAAAAATGCATAAACAGCATGCCTAGGAGAGTAGCTGCACTTATTAATGCCAAGAGTGGCATAACAAAATATTAATGTTATAGTACAATATTGTAATAATTTACTTTAGTTTTGTTCAATAAATATGCAAAAAGGTTACTACTATCATTTGTGTTATCTTTCTTACTTATAGCTAACATAGTTATGATTATAAAACACAGAAAACTTGAATTTTCTAAGTGAGTCTAATAAATTGAGCAGGGACTGTATATATATATATATATATATATATATATATATATATATAATATATATATATATATATATATGTATATATATATATATATGTATATATATATATATATATATAAATATATATGTTATATATATATATATATATATGTATATATATATATATATATATATACTTCTTAGGAGGATAACTTTCGGGAAAGCGTCAAAACAAGGATCAGCTAGAGATGGTATAAGCCAGTATATAAGCCATATATATATATATATATATATATATATAATATATATATATATATATATATATATATATATATATATATATTAATTAGGTGGTTAGATGGAGTAGAAACCGACTTACGAATATTAAAAATCAGAAGATGGCAACATGTTGCCAAAAACGAACAGAATGGCGACGAATCTTAGAGCAGGCCAAGATCCACAGAGGATTGTCGAGCCAAAGATGATGATATATATATTAATATTTATGTGATATGTTTTGAAATATTTATTAAATGTTCATAATTATTTTAGGCTTTTGTATTTCAAAATAATAATTACAATAAATCCCTGTATGAACGAGAACTGTCAATTTTGAAATTCGTTAGTGTCATGTCTAATTGGCAAATTTTTTACGTGTTTGGTTCATACGCTGGTGTATGTGAGATCGAATCCCAATATGAATTTCCTTTTTTATTTTTGAAATCTTTAAAAACCAAACGTTAATCTTATTAAATATATGTAATATACGCAAAAATACTAAATTTTAAAATAAAATGAAAATTTACAACATATTCCGAGTTCTTGGTTTTTTATTTTTATCTTCCACAAACATTTTTTGAAGTAATACTTCTATATATACGCGCGTTCGACGTTGGAAATTTGTACGGGAGTGAATCGGCAAAATCATTACATATGTAAGATGAGACAGAAGATATATTTTCTCTCTCAAGAATAAAAATGTTCCTTTTGTAAATATAATTAATATATTATTATTTTTTTATTAATATTATTGTGGTAAATTAAACATGTGAGTATATATATATATATATATATATATATATATATATATATATAAGGATCACTCAGACGAGTGGTGGGTTCTTATATCGGTCTGTAATGTACCTACCTACTCACATGTAAGATAATTAAAGTATCTATGTATTTCTATATAGTTTTTAGTCACCTGGTATATGTTATTTACAATTATGAAAAGTTCTCATGTATAATCACTAATAATTATTTGCTGTTAGAAATCAGAATCAATACTCTTCATAAATATTTTCCTATTTAGAATAAATAAGTTTCGCTAGTTTATTCGCCTAATACTTCGTATCTATGGAATAATAATAATTTATTTCTCTTATTTCTTTGTTCGATAAGCTATCCGTATTTGCTATTTTAATATTAATATTTGAGTCCAATCTCTTGTACTCAAATCCATCCAGAAACATCGTTAAATAATTGTAGATAACAGAACTTATAAATTCATAGTTTTAAGAAATAACAGGCAGTGTAATTTTCATCCTCTAATATAATAAATTTATACATGTCAATATATTCTGTTTAATTCCAAAACAAAGAGTTAGTCCGGAGAAGAAATAAACGCATAGTATTCCATAACAAAATTTGGTGTCAGAACGTGGGATATTAGTAGCAGAGTTCCTCTGATTGCTGATAGAAGGAGAGCTGAGGAATTTTGAATTGACTTGTTTCCTTCGAGGAATCATTCAAAAAAAACTGTCAGTGTGGAAAAATCGCCACTACAACTAATTACATTGGGGTCCAGTACATCCAGTTCGAAATCCAGTTCCAGTCATAACCCAATTGTAGTTCCATCGGAAGTAGAGGTGAACCCGTGGAATAATAGACTATGCGACCAACAACAATATTCTACTTGTAAGTACATTCTATCTTAAATTCTGTCTCATATTTTAAAAATCTTGTAAACGTATGTCTACTTTATATCCTGATATAAGTAACTTATTTGACGAACAAATACCTTCTCCCGACTCAAATTCTCTTTCAAATTCTTCTACTTCTAATTCAAATAAAATGTCAGTATCAATTGAAATAGCTGAAAAACTTCTCATTAGATTTGATGGTACAAAATCAAAATTATACGAATTCATAGACAATTGTGATAAAGCATACAATTTAGTAAATCCGCAATCCAAACCCATCTTATTAGCCATTATAGAAACTAAATTAACCGATAAAGCTAGGGCCATAACTAGAAACAGAACATTTGACGAATGGAAAGATTTAAAAGACTTCTTATTAGATGCTTATTCTGAACGCCGAACTGAAGGTCAGTGGCAATTGGAATTACATTCCTTACGTCAGATGCCCAGTGAAAATGTAATGTCATTTGCAAATAAAGTTGAAAATTGCTATATAAAATTAATAAATACACTTGATCCAGACTTATCTCCAGATGCAAGAAATGCATGTACTAAACTCTTAAAAACTCAAGCACTAAATGTCTTTATTAGAGGATTAAACAAAGACCTCTCTATTTTAATCAAAGCCCGAAATCCAGATTCCTTAGAAAGAGCTGTTGCTATAGCAATTGCCGAAGAACAAGAACAGTTATCAAGACAAGAAATTTTCAGACCATTCTGTAATATTTGCAAACGAAATAACCATTCCTCAAATAACTGTCGATATAAAAACAATTCAGATAGAAATGTTAGACATCTTCAAAATTCTAGTTTTCAAAACCCAAAATATCCTAATTCAAATCTTCAAAGGTCAAATTCTCAAAATCAAAATTATAAACCTTCAAATTCAAATTCCAATTC